GAACCTTTGATTTTTTGCCATGAGGAGGTGCAGCGGTCTAGCGATAGTGGCGAAATCCGTCACAAATCGACGGTAGTAGGACGCGAACCCGGCAAACCGTCGTACCTCCCCCACCGAGGTGGGGGTCGGACAGTCCTGGACGCACAACGTCTTGTCCGGGTCCGTGGCAACACCGTTCGAGCTGACATGTCCCAAATAACGCACGGAGCGTTGCAAGAGGTGGCACTTTTTAGGTTTGAATTTGAGATTTGCAGAACGCATCATGTCGAAAACAGCCCTCAATCTCTGAAAGTGTTCCTCGAACGTACGACTGAACAAAATGACGTTGTCTAAGTATATCAGACACGTGTCCCATTGTAACCCAGTCAACACCAGTTCCATCAACAACTGGAACGTAGCGGGAACAGCGTTCATTCCCATGGGAAGACGGTTAAATTGGAATAACCCCTGAGGCCTACGGAACGCCGTCTTTTCCTTTGACGAATCGTCGAGGGGAAGTTGCCAAAACCCAGAGGAGAGATCGAGGGTGGAAAAGTATTGTGCTCGCGACAAGGCATCGAGGGAGTCATCCATCCGTGGCAGAGGGTACGCATCTGCCACCGAAACCTTATTAAGCTTCCGGAAATCAACGCAGAAGCGGAGGCTACCATTCTTTTTCTTTACGAGGACAATGGGAATGCCCCACGGGCTATTCAACGGAGAGATAATGTCAGCGGCCAGCATGTCATCCACCGCGCCAAGTACATGGTCCCTCTCCTAGGGACTTAGTTGGTGCGGATTCATCCGTATAGAGCTCGCCCCCCCCAGTATCAATTTGTTGAGACAACAGTGAAGTGCGCCCCAAGTCGAAATCGTTCTTGCTGAAAACGTCGAAGTAATCGGACAAGAGCGCCCGAAGCACGCTTCGTTTATGCGTGGTCAAGGACGAATTTTCCTGATACAACTCGGCGATTCAAACGATCGTCGGACGTCCCACGAGGCTCAATCGCTGCCGCAGACCATAAACGCAGTAGTGGCATGAGCCAGGACCATGCCAGCCGCAACCAAAACAGCCTTCCGACCCCCTGTTCAAAACTTGCAAAAACGGGGGTTTACCCGGCTGGATGATCATCTGGGCCCCAACCAGCGCAAGACCCTTGGTAGCGGTGTTAGATGGGGACAGCAGCACGCCCGTTGTCACGTCCATCCCGCGGAATTGTTTACAGTAACGCAATGGGATGAGCATTTTGGCGCCCGGAGGAATTTCCACCAAGATATCGGCAAGCGCCTGCACTAGAACGTCCGGCGCAGGATGACTCAACGGGGACGGCAAGAAAAAAATCTTACGCCCCACAGGCAGCTCAATGCAGCCCTGATCAACGAGGATCTTAACCGGCATTTGACAGAGAAAATCGGTACCCAACAAACAAGGCACTGCCAATGACCTGGAAATCAAAACCGTTCCCGATGCCACAACATTCCCGATAGAAACATGCGCTTCGACCTGACCCACAATGCCAATACTATCCCCGTTGGCAGCAATACACACATCGAAAGCCGGCCGCACGCACAAAAGGAGGTGGAATATGACATCGGAGATGATAGTGGCCAACGCACCCGTGTCCACCAATATCTGCACGTCCACCCCTTGAATAGAGCCCGGCACCATAGAGGACCCCGTCACGGCCACTACCACATGGCGTGCCAACTTTCTCCATTGAGTAACCGTACGAGGCGAACCGCCTGTGGCCCTATGTGAGCCCCGGACATATGAATCATGCCCGATCAAAGATGCATGAGGTGACAAAGCTTGCCGGGTATCTGATGCATACCAACTTGCCTGGCTTTGGTCACAGCTCAACGACGTGGCAGCTGCAGAGGTGGGGATCTGGGAAGAAGCGGATGGAGGGGACATCTCCGACAGTCCCGTGCAAAGTGGCCTGGGCCAGCCACACCAAAAGCACGCCATGCCGGCTCGCCAGTCGGCCCCACCGACGTCCCGGAGCGGCGCCGACGAAGCACCCGAACGCGCCTCGGTCCCCCTCCTCGGAACCCAGTGGCCCACATCGGCCACCAGGTCGCCGGTCCCCACGTCGTCCGGAGTGCGGACAACCCGTGATGGTACCCATCCCATAGGGTGAACGTCCACAGCTGGGTCCCCTGTCCAGGTGGCTATTTGCTCACAGTGGCGCAAGTTGAACTGGGCGTCGAGACATTTGGCGGCCAACCGGGAAGTAAGTGGCTCATGGCCACACACCGGCATCGGAATGCCGAGTTCCTTGGATAGCTCCAACATCTTGCCCAGGTTGAGGGGGTCGAGCATGTCAGGCTTAGCTTCAGGGTAGGCAGCCTTCACTAGTGCCACCAGGGCGCCACGGTAGGCAATGGGAGATTCATCCGCACGACGCTGACGCTGCACAAGCTTCTCAGCGAGAATCGAGTGGAATACCGCGAGCGATGTCATCGAGGAGCATAGGCAAGGCCTCCAACGCCTCTTCCTCCGTCCATTGGACGGAGCGAAAAGCAGACTTGAAGCGCCAAGTGAAAGCGCTCCAGTCCCCTCCCACTCTGAATTATTTTATGTTCGGAAGACGATGGTTGCGCCCCGCGCCGCTGTCCCCACCGGGCCCAGCATCCCGCGCCCGCGTTCCACACTGCGCCTCTAAAATGGCGGGCTCCTGCATCGTCTTGCCGCATGGCCACAATGGCAGACAGCCTTCCCAAGGCCGCTTTGGCGGCCGATGCTTGAATGAGGGGACCCTCCGAGATCACCCGAGGGGGGCCCTGCTCGTCACCACTCGGAAGCGTTCCATGCGGACGTCCTGGCGCTGCGGACGGCACGACCAGCGTCATCAGGTTGAGCAGGACGGCACGCAGTGAGTCAATCTGTTCCGCCACATGCCAGGGCTCCGGGGATGAAGACGGCCTGGCACTGACCACCATCTCCGGCACCTTAGCAGAGCCGACCATAGTTGCCGCGTCCGGGCCCCCCTCTCCCAGGATCGCCAAGTCCTGGGTGAGTGAGTCGTCGTCGGAAGACGGCGTAGGTGAAATTTTTTCTTGAGATGCTTGGACTTGTCGTCCACGTCAAGAATCACTTCTGACCCCAATTGTGATAAAGCAGGTCGACGAGAAGCGAGGTGTCTCCGTCTGCTTATTTCTTCGTTATCTGGACGCTCGTGTTCTGCTCTCTCAGTCGTTCCACGGCGTGTCGCGTGAGCTGGCGTCCGGCTCTCGCGCCGCCCTCTCGCTCTCACTTCTCCGCTCCCGCACACCGCTGGCAAACGGCGTGTTGGGAGCCGTTTCCTCATCGCCATGTGGCCAATGGCTCGTGGAGACCTGCGACGTGGCCCAGCTTCCAGCTCTCACCAACTGACCCTGAGCCCATTCCGGCTCTCCCTTATATCCCCTTCCCGCATCACCCAGACTTCGCCCTTCACCACACCCCTTAAGAACTTTCCAGATAATACCACCCCCTAGCGTCCGCGGGCTCCGCCCTTGAACCCTGCCCCAGATGGTTCGTGTCGCCTGGTTGGCTTAGGGACTAGGGCAGCGAAGCCCCAGCATACGCTCGCATTACACTTGTATTTGTTTTGTGGCGGCCTTTGAAGCCTGGTAGAGATTTCCCAAGAATATCATTATCAAACTTGTGCACCGGGGTTTTTTAAATGACCTTTTATGGATACTTCTTCGCCTGGTGTGGCTTGTGAGAGGCAGCTGCTGTTTGAGGGGTGGGGTTTGCATCACCCCCTTTGTGCCCCAAGCTACACTCCGATCGTATATTACAACAAAATTGGCGGAATTTATCTTAATATATTTTTTGGTAAATGGGGCATATATACAAGACGCTCCCGATGGAGTATGTGAGAAGGAGAGATCTTGAGTTAAAGCTTTCGTGACTGCAGGAATTTATATTCTTTGGGTCTTTCGGTAAATTAACGTAAATAAGTTCAAAGAAAATAACAAAAACTAACAAAAAACTATGACGTTTCGATTGCAACACAAGCGGTCGTCATCTGATGTCATCTGATGACGACCGTCGTAGTTTATTTTTTATTATCTTTGAACTTATCTATGTGACTTTAATGAAGGACCCAAAGAATATAAAGAGATGGCGAGTGAAAAAAGACAATGGAGTGAAATGCTTCACACGAAAATGCCAAGAAAAAAGAATGAGGAAGAGTAAGGCACGTCATGTACCACACGTCGTGTTCATATATAAGTCAACATTTATGTTTATATATATTTGGACGTATTGGCAGTAGACCCATTGCAGCATAATGCACCGGTCCTCATAAAACAGTCCTGACGTTGTTTTTATTGTCAGAGCGTGTTTGTTTGAATGTCCTTAACAAGTACGTGTGCGTAATGCAGACTTGATTCCTTGCAAAATGTATAATCAATCTGGTGTTTCAACAGATTAACATCTATTTTATTTGCATGAAGGATAAAACCTATTCTGATTTGTCATAGTCCTGACGATGTCGCTGTTACCCCTTGAGTGAGCTGCAGGACTCTCCATCAAAAGTTGCACTCAGATTCAGCAGCCGCGTCCCCCATTCGAGCGTGCGGTGGTGACACGAGTCGTAATCTTTTAATGCCACCGTTCGCCAAATAAATTATTCCGAAAATTAATCTAGGGACCGGCTGACCAAGTCTCTAAGGGCACAAGTAGTCCGGTCTTGCCTTTTTGGAGCACGGAGCAGTCGATTGTCATCAGGCTCGGCGCTGCTATATGGCAACAGACTGCAGAGCTTCGTGTTCAGCCCCGCTCACTTAACGTTCTGTCTTCCCACCACTTTGGCATCGCAAAAACCGATTTTGACACACCACCACGACCGGCAGTTTGCGAATCGCGGGAAAAGAAATAATAATTGCGCAAAAACGTGATTATATTATATACCGTGCACCGCCAGCGTACAGCCAATACATTCATGTAAACAGAAATGATTGTTACACGTACTCAAGCCCTTGCTCATGACATTGGAATGACATGGAATTGCAGATTTGAAAATACTTACAGGTTCTATCCATGACCACATCAGATCCTTGGGAGCAATAAAGATTTCTCGTCTCCACATATGCATAGTAGTTTGTGTCAGGAATCAGATTGGTGAATGTGATGCTACCCGTAGACAGCACATACGAGGACTGGTTTATGTTGTTATTGTCTTTCAAGCGAGCATTGTATGACAAACTGGAGGAAGGAACCTCCCACGAGAAGCTCATGCTTGTCATGGTCTTGCCAGTGATGGTCACATTGACTTTGGGTGGCACTGAGAAACATCATTAGAAAGTGGATTAGTAATATCGGCAACATTTTCACTGTTTTTCAAAATATAGCATTATTCGGTACATTTCGATTTCGCAGTTTACATTTCGTTTCGCTTTGAAGTGCATTCATGTCTTTTTTTTCGTTAACACGTTCTTACAATCAATTTCGTAAAGATATTTATTGGCCATGTATCGTGGTTCCGTACGTCACATTTTAGGGTGGTACTGAAACACGACCAGTGGGGAATAGCAAATGCATTCAGGGTGCAACAGAGTAAATCAAGTCACTGAGAGTCCTCAACTTCGATTGGTCAAAACGTGGAACAAAAGCAAAAAAAACAGTGTTACATTGCCCTATACTTTATCACGTGAATGTTTCTGGAACGTTGCTAGCCTGCATCATGTCATGTGTCAAGATAAATTACGTCAGATACATATTTTTGTGCATCCTTATTAATGCCAGTTTATCTTAAGTGACAAGGAAGTTCAATTTAATGTCTCTGTAGTTGTTACAGTCTGGGTAGTCCTCGCTATTAAAGTGGGGGGCCATCATAACAGTCTTCCAATCCTGTGGAACCCGTCCAGATGTCCAGAGTGTTGTAATGATGTCATATAGGGCAGTTTGCACACAAACGCCAACCTCCCTCAGCAGTTCGCTTGGGAGATCATCTCTGCCTGGTGAATTTCCTGGTCTCAAACTCTGGATCGCCTTCTGTACGTCCTCAACAGATGGCACCTCAGCCAGCCGTTCACAGGTTGTGACTACTTCTTCCAATATTTGAGGCATGGCAGTCCCAGAAGGGTCATCCCCACTTTTCCCAATTATGTTTTCTTAGCTGGGGGATTTCCCCTCTCCCAAGACCTCACAAAATAGTCAGAAAACCTGCAAATATGTTCCTAGGGTCGGAGATGTCATCACCATTTGTTTCCCATATTACAAACTATTGGTTTGTTCTATTTTAGAGAGAAAACTAGCACCCCACGTGCCCCTTTAGGACATAACCCCTCCCTTTCCTCCAACCAGCCAGGAAGCTAGCCAACAAACGTTTAATAATATACAGTAGTATTATATGATGGTACGAATGATATGGGAGTGATGCATATATCAGAGGTGTGGACTCGAGTCATGTGACTTGGACTCGAGTCAGACTCGAGTCATGAATTTGATGACTTCAGACTCGACTTGGACTTGCATAACAATGACTTTGTCCCACCTCTGAGGTGTGGACTCGAGTCATGTGACTTGGACTCGAGTCAGACTCGAGTCATGAATTTGATGACTTCAGACTCGACTTGGACTTGCATAACAATGACTTTGTCCCACCTCTGGCATATATGCGTACACACTTGCACAGACACTTCTAACAGCAGGGTTCCGGCCGTATGATGTTCAGACAGCTGTGTATGCGTGTGTGGCGGTAGTGTAGCGCAGGGGTCCCCCTGTTAGGAACCGGGCCGCATAGCAGGAAGTGAGCGGTGGGCGAGCGAGCGAAGCTTCATCTGTATTTACAGCCGCTCCCCATCACTCGCATTACCGTCTGGGCTCCGCCTCCTGACAGATCAGCGGCAGCATTAGATTCGCATAGGAGCGCGAACCCTATTGTAAACTGCGCATGCGAGGGATCTAGGTTGCATGCTCCTTATGAGAAGTTAGAATCCGACATTTATACTGGTAGGAACGACCTGGTTCCACCAGCCCACAGGGGATTATTGTGTCCGTCCGTCGTGCAGGGAGGGGCTGGGTGGGGAGAAAGGGGCTGGGTGGGGAGGGTTGGGAGGGGTTGGGTGGGGAGGGGCTAGGTGGGGAGCGGTTTTTACCCACTTTCACTTGCCTGGTGGTGTTACTCGATGACAATATTTTTGCTATCTTTTCTTGGATTTTCTGTTTGCACTTAGTCACAAATTCACTTTAAGATGTTTTTTGTTCATGTTTTTGTTTTTTGTTTGTTGCGGTTGCACCCGATTCAAGAGCTGAATGGCTCACAGGGCTATACCTAATAAATGAACTTGAACTTGAACTTGACGATGAGAGGACTTCAAAGGGCCAAACGATTACTAAATGTAATTGACGGGAAAATGTTTTCTTTATAAATAGCAACCGGCACATCCTTTGTACATAACCATCTGTATGTCCCCCACCCCCACCCTGCCAGCTAGCCAGCCAAGAAGGAAGCCAGCCATCCAGCTAGAAAAACTTTTGTTTTACAAATTGTGATAAGGAAATTAAAACTCTCTATTGCGGTGCCATCTCGCAGCCGGTCACTCACATGTGCTGTCGTACACGGTGGATGAGACGTTGCTTCCGCCAGTGCAGTTGACAGTTATGGCAATGCTGTAGTATCTGTTAGGCACCAGCCCCGTGAATGTGAAGTTGGAGGCACTCCCATTGATGGTGAAGGGGGAGTATGTGAATGTCGACTGATCGTACAATTGTAAGACGTAGCTGGTGGCGTCCACGCCGACCTCCGTCCACGTGACTGTGATCGTTGTTTCACTCCTGGCACTCACCTGCACTTCTTCAGTTATAATGAATGCACAAGTATCTTAATAAACAAAGCAATGACAATGACAAATAACAGTATTGTGTCAGTCCTCTGCTACTTAAAGCCCACCACCCCTGTGTCACAGGCATAAATAAAATCTGATGATTTTGGATTGGTGAAAGGGTCGGAGATAGAGCTATCACTGTCAAACGGATATTCATGGCCGGATATGAAAAAAACCGCACTGTAACCCCGGGGCCGGCCCAAGACACGCTGGTGGGACTACGTCGATCTGCTGGCCTGGGAACGCCTGTGAATTCCCCAGGAAGAGCTAGAGTATATGTATAGTAGTGTATAGTAGTGTATCGTATAGTAGTGTATCGTAGTGCAGTGTATAGTAGTGTATAGTAATGCAGTGTATAGTAGTGCTGAAGTATGTCGCCAGGGAAAGGGAAGTCTGGGCCGCTACTACTCAAGACGCTACCGCCACGACCCTCACCACGACAAGCGGACTGAGAAACGAACGAACTGTAACCAATGTTTAACAAGTTCTGGCCAGCTGTCCTCAGCCAGCAGTGGACGTCAGGGATCGTAATTGATTTATCGTCGCCTGAATAACATGTTGCGTCAGTAAACCCTACTCCAACCGACACAGCCAATTTAATGAAGTTGCCTCGTGATTACCGGTGCTTTGGAGAGCCAATGTCGCAATATTTCACTATTGGATATTGTTCGCTGATTCGCTGATAGTTACAGCCACCATCATTAGGCCGTTTCCACAATTCCTGAAACCGGCTGATTTTTCTGGTTACATCAGCGAACCGGCAAAGAACCCACTCGTTAAAATGCTTATACAACATGCGACAAAAAAATTAATGGGCCGCGTTGGGTGGTGGACGGCTTTTACGACACAAGTTTGGTCAGATAATTGCATGGCCCACTCCAAAAATACATGATAAATCGTATTGACTGCGGAAACCAGCGTGTTAGGTTAATACATTTCAACAATACGACGATCAGCATTGCATGAGTTGTCCACAAATATTTAATTAAATGTGCATCGTTTGTTTGATGCCATTGACATTTTCTTGGTTCTTTCGGAAAAGTCACGTAGATAGAAAATAAAAATTATAAAATAAAAAATAAATAGAAAATAATAAAAGCAAAAAACCCACGATGTTTCGATCGCAACACAAGCGGTCTGCATCAGGCGGAGAGAAAAAAAAACGCTCGTGTTGCGATCGAAACGTCATGGGTTTTTTTCTTTTTATTATTTTCAATTTATTTTCATTTTTTATTTTATTTTACTATCATATTTTTTCTATCTACGTGACTTTATCAAAAGAACCAAGAACATGAATTCCTGCAGTCACGAAAGTTTTAAGTCTAAATTTCTATTTAAAGTTCAACCTCAGTTCGACGTCAGCCATGAGGAGACTAACCTTTGATCTTTACAATCGATGACGCAGATGTTGTCAGTTACACAATTTATAATCAAGTTAATCAATTATCACATAAAACCGCGAACATTTTGCAAAGCACAAATAATACATATTCATTTTGACCTTAAATTTATTTGGTTTGTTGTTTTATATAACAAAAATGCTTTGCATACCAATCGCGATAGAACAATTTAACAAAACAGATTAAACACGTATCTTGGACCTTACCTTAAACGATATCTCATGGTTTTCCACACCACGACAACCTTAGGACAACTCCATTTTCACGAAGGCAATGCTTCCTCCATCATAAATACAAGGAGTTAATTGAAAATGTTAAACTGCATCTCGCACCATTAAGGAATCGCTCGCGCTGTGTTCTTGTCTTCAGGTCTCCTTGTTTCCTCTTGTGCTCATGTTCTTGTCTAGTTGCGTCTAGATCTCTCAGGGTCTCAAGAGTCTCTTTATCTCTGTGTTTATCTCTGCGTGCCTCTGTCTCCATTTTTTGCCTCCGATTATTCCCATGTCTGCTGTTTTCATTCTTTGCCTGCCCTCTCTGTGTTCATCTCTCACACATTCTCTTGTTGTCCCTCTGCGTCTGTCTGTCTCGTTTTCCCTATGCCTGTCTCTCTAGGCCTGTCTCAAAGGCGGCTGTGTACGATGATAGCCTCATCACCGACCCCATCATGTGCCATTCCGGCCTTCATAGGCGCTGCTACTCGCTAACAGCACTTTCCCCAACAGTTTGTTAAGTTAATACGGGGAATCTTTGTTTCTGCGTCTGTGTGCCCATCTCCTTCCCTCTCTCATTGTCTCCATGTCAGTGGCGTATTAGCTACATCAGCTCAGGGGGTGCGGAAATCGATCAGGTGGGGCCCCAAATAGTGCGATTGTCTCTTCGCACGGTGGCACATAGAGGCTATTCGATATCGTAGCTCTTTTTGTCCTAACCACATCGTAATTACACTCACGTTGTCTCAAATATTTAACGCCGTAGGGGCGCTCCGTCTTTGCAAAATGCATTCACTGCAGCTCCGTAGTGCTTCTTTGCAATATAATTGTCGCGTATCTAATGAAATAAATATCCCAGAAACGGAGCTCTATTGTGAAAGCATTTTCATGAAAATATATTGAAACCGCAATTGGCATTGTTATCGAAAACAAATCTTATTGTGGTTGTCAAGAGGGCCCCAACTCATAGCTTTGGCTACCAGGGGGCCAAGGCGACCCCTGCCCCCACGCTAGGCGCCATGGTGGCTAGTATATATTAACTACCTCACCTGCTATTATGAGGTCGTGGGTTTCATCCCGACCATGACGCCTGTATATTTGGAGTTTGAATTCTCTCTTCTCGTGGGCGTGTGTATTTTTCAACCTGGTCCTCCGGTTTTTCCCTCCACATTTAGGATCAACATTAATGCATTTAGAGTATTTTGCTGCTGCTTTAAATTTACACGTTGAGCTATAATTTGTGATAGCCAGGTCACTTCTGAAAAAAGAGCGATATAGCTCAATGGGCCTTACCTGGTAAATAACAAACAGTTTTTCGCTTATAGTTACGCTACTGCTCTGTGCGTGTCCTATCTGTTTGGCTAGCATATTGTCTTTGTTTGTGTTCTATCCCTTTGGCTCGTCTGTGTGTATGTTATCTGTTTGGTTCGCATATTTTATCTGTGTGTGTGTCCTATCTGTTTCGCTAGCATCTTGTCTGAGCGTGTCACTGTATATCTCCATCTCTCGGATCCTCCTTCTCCGCGTTTGCCCCAAAATATATTTTGTTTCGCTGACCGTGAGCACATGAAATGGCGAGGCGATGTTTTACAGGGCAATCAATGGTTGCAGGGCTTACCTGATATCTGACAACCATTTGCAACTCTTGCAACCTAGGGCAACAACAACCGCACCATTAAAATGTAGCATGCATCATTGTAACGTCAGCTTGTTAATAACGAATTTACTCACCGATACTGTCATATTCATAATAACGTTTTTTTGGGTTTAGATCACGTAAGTATAAATGTGTCGTTAACCCGCCACCACCCAACACAGCCAATTAGTAAGGTTTGCCACAAAAAGTTTGTCAAAAAATTTAATCGATGCTGTAATCACCAGCGAAATTTCACAGTACTCTAATTGCAAATGTTATGGATTTATCCTCCAACACACCAGTGTGCTTAAGTAGTAACTAATAGGCACGTTTTGTGTGTCAAACTTTACTAATTGGCTATGTCGGGCGGTGTGAGGTTAATGACGCATTTATACTTACGGGATCTCACCCAAAAACATTTATTAACAATACTGTAATTTCCATCAGATGTATTGCCATTGTTTATCATCGGCACCATGTTACAACAATTAAGCATCTAATTATAACTTCGCAGACCAGTGCAACTCTTCGTGTCAGAGCAGCCAATGGCAACGGATGCCACCGAGCTACTTCCGATCTCTTCAAGCGATCTCTATTTTACACAGCAGGGGGCAGCACTTTCACACACCCCTGCCACAGAGCATCATTTGTGATGGGAGCAGAGTAGAATAAGTCAGGTATGGACCTATTATTTGGGTATTTCGGTAAAGTCACGTAGATAGGTTTCTTCCTGATGACGAACGCTTGTGTTGCAATCGAAACGTTGTAGTTTTTTTTGTTATTTTTAGTTTTTTTCTTTGAACCTCTCCGTGACTTTACTGAAAGACCCAAATAATTTTAATTCCTGCAGTCACGCAAGCTTTAAGTCAATGTATGGACCTGTCTGAGGCTCAATAATTTGGTTTAATGTGATCTTTCCAGATCTGGCTGCGGACTTTAAGGTCAGATTCTTTTTTCCAATTTTACAATACATTTTTGTTTCTCAAGGAGTATGCTTTTGTACTCGGAGGGCTAAGGTAGTTCTAAAAGTGGTGAGAGTTCAGATTTATAACATGAACAGTGTGGTGGTATTGTAGCGCAGTCTATGAAGCACCTCTCGGTTAGCACGGTTGGCTATGTACGGTGTGAAATAAGTTCACCATACATACACATACGAAGCAAGATCGAGTGATAGAATGTGTGCACAGGGCATTGAAAGAGACGAATTCCTTTGGATATTAGCGCAATTGGTTACATATGGAGCAAAAGAAGTTCAACATATATACTTAACAGAGAATTTAATGGGGCGGTCGTCGTTAAAAGTGAAATAAATGCGGCTGAGAGCGATATGAATCTGTGTTACAAATCAGAATAAGAATATTTATGTGTACTGGACGAATCCGATGAAATCTAAGCTCTTTTTCACAGATGTCGGGCAATTAACCGAGAGGTGCTTCATAAGCACGATATGAGTGTAAAGCATAGTAGAGGTAATCAAATAACTTTGATTTTTTTTTTACAAATAAAAATGAACTTCTTTCTTATTTTACCAGGTAAAGACCACTGGGCTATTAGCTTCTTTTTCAAAAGCGACCTGTCCAGAAATGATAGCTCAACGAAGTGGCTTATCATATGGACATTTACAGTAGCACAATAATCTAAATAATCTAAACGCATGTTTATAAAAGTGGAAAAAAAACCGTAGGACCCAGAGAAAAAAATCCACATGACCATGGGAAAAAACTTCAAACTCCAAATATGCATGCATCAGGGTGGGAATTGAACCGACAGGAGAGGAAAATAACATCACACCACCCAAACGACCGTGGCACTGTAATAGAGCGATAAAGTCGAACACCCGACGAAATTACCGATCCGAGATTTGCCCACAGATGAAATAAAGTGGGCGTGGTGTTAGTCGAAGGGGCGTGTCAATGGCCAAATATTGTTGTGGCTCGTGAATCCAGGCTAATTGTAATCGATTCTGCTGAGTCGATCTAGCACCCAGCCCAAAGTTGCTTGGGCAGCCATCCTGAAATTATACGATTTTATCTTAAACTAGCAGGAAGTACCCGGCTTTGTGCGGGGGGGGGGGAAATATTTTTCAAAACGTGCCTTTTCTTAAAAACATAATACATACGTACACAAATACTCTATTGTGAAAAAACGGTATTGCATTAGTCTGTCCATTTGTCCGTCAGCAAATTTATAATAGGCTTGCAGAAGTGCTGAATTAAAAAGTAATATAAAGTGGGGGGTAAATAGTTGATCTAAAAGGTTTCAAAAAATTGTAGACACACCCCCCACCCGCTAAAAAAATATTTTACCCCCCTGTATATACAATGGAGTCAGTAGTATCTAGTGACTCTTATCTATTGACTATATCAGTATCTACTGACTCTATTGTAGTATCTGCTGACTCTGTAGTTGTATCTACTGACTTTACAGTAGTATCTATTGAGTAAAGTAGTATATACTGACTATAGCAGGATCTACTGACTGTATAGTATCTAGTAACTGTAGTATTATCCACTGATTCTACAGTAGTATCTACCGACTCTATAGTAGTATATACTGAATGTATAGTAGTATCCACTGACTATAGTTGTAACTGCTAACTCTATAGTAGTATCTGCTGACACTATATTAGTATTCACCGACTCTCTAGTAGCATATACCGACTCTATAGGAGCATCTACCGACTCTATAGTAGTATCTACCGACTCTATAGTAGTACCTACTGACTCTACAGTAGTATCTAATGACTATATTAGTACTCTAGAGTAGTGTCTACTGATTATAGTAGTAACTACTAATTATATAGTAGTATCTGCTGACTCTATAGCAGTAGCTACTGACTCTATAGTCGCATATACTGACTGTCGTAGTATCTACTGACTATACAGTTGTATCTACTGAGTCTACAGTAGTATCTATTTACTGAAGTAGTATATACCGACTCTACAGTAGTATCTATTGACTCTATAGTAGGATCAACTAAGTCTACAGTAGTCTCTACTGACTGTAGTAGTATCTACCGACTCTACAGAAGTATATATTGACTCTATAGTAGTATCTACCGACTCTACAGTAGTAACTACTGACTCTATAGTCAAATCTATCGACTCCACAGTAGTATGTACCGACTCTATCGTCTGTAATAGTATCTAGTGACTCTACAATAGTATGTACTAACTGTAGTAGTTTCTACCGAGCCTATAATAGTATCTACCGACTCTATTGAAATATCTACTAACTCTACAGTAATATCTACAGCCTCTATAGCAGTATCTACAAACTCAACAGTAGTATCTACTGACTCTATAGTAGTATCTACTAACTCTACAGTAGTATCTACAGCCTCTATAGCAGTATCTACTAACTCTACAGTAGTATCTACTGATTCTATAGTACCTATCATGGACCTACTTAATGATGGTAGTTACTCCAAAATTTAAAACCATCCTACTAACAGCCTAACGACAAAAACTAACAAAATCATCACGAGTTCGACTTCCCTAATCGAACCAACCAAACGTCCCTTTCTAAAACCATCGGCGGCAAGACCTCCCAGACTCTGGTCTTCCCAAGATCCATAAATAAGGCACCCCGCTATGACCCATTGTGTCGACGATCAACTCTCCTACCTACAAACTAGCCCGGTTTATATCAGATACTCTGCTTCCCTTCACAGGCAAGACCTCTTCGGCAGTACTCAACTCAACCCAATTAGTCTCTATGGTCAAGGACATGGTACTATCTCCTGATGATATCCTCGTCAGTTTTGATGTAGTATCTCTGTTTACCAAGTCCCAGTACCTGACACCCTAACAATAATTGAGGACTTGGTCCAACATGGATTGAATTCGGATGTACCTGCGCTGGTTAGGCATTGCCTCACCAACACTTATTTTACCTGGAATGGCACCTTCTACAAACAGAATGAGGGTACCCCTATGGGCTCCCCCTTGTCACCAGTGATAGCCAACATGTTCATGGAAAAGTTTGAATCAGACGTCATCCAGACATCCACCCTGCGTCCTTCCCTGTGGAAGAGGTATGTGGATGACACTTTCGTCATTTGGCCACATGGCCTCCCAGCATTGAACCACTTCTTGGACCACATCAATTCCAGACACCCATCAATCAGATTCACCATGGAAGTGGAGAAAGATGGTAAACTACCATTCTTAGATATTCTGTTTGAGAGGAGACCTGACGGATCCTTGGGACATTCTGTCTACAGGAAAGCCACCCACACAGATTCCTACTTGAAACCTGATTCCCACCACCACCCATCTCAAAAGAAGTATCTCATCAAAACGCTATACCACAGAGCTCATAGCATTTCTGACCAACACCACCTGACCAGTGAATTAAGACATGTACATCGGACCATCAGGATGAACGGATACTCTGACCGCACCATCCGCCAAGCTGTTTCTCCCACCATACAGAAACAGCCACATGAAACTCCGATCAAAACTATCACGTTGCCATACATAGCAGACATGACCAAAAAGATCTCCAAAATTCTAAACAAACATAAGATCCAAGTCCGATTCAATACAGTACATAAAATCCGTGATCTAATTCCATCTGTGAAATATGTCATTCCTGACTTACAATACCCTGGAGTCTACAAACCGAGTTGCAGTTGTGGTGATTGCTACATTGGAGAAACGAAACGTCATATCTCTGATCGTGTCCGCGAGCACAAGTCAGATCTGAAACACGGCAAAACTGATTCTTCCGCCGTTGCCGATCATTGCTACAACGCTGTGGGCTCTCATGAAATTGTCTTTTCCGAGACCAAGGTGCTCTGCAAACCTCCTGGCTACCATCAAAGGTTTGTACACGAAGCCATCCAAATATACAAACACAGACATAATTTCAACCGTGATGATGGGTACAAACGTAGTAATCATTGGAAAGATGTTATTAACCATGAAAAAATATTTAACTACACATATTTGGACCATCTTATTTGACATGCACTATTCTTCAGTTACCGTATAGTTTCTTCTTCTTTTTCACACACTGGTTTTCCTACTTTAAGTTTTACCACACATATCTAAAATTAATCCCAGCAATGTAGCAAAAGGGCTGTTTCATCTACGTAACAAAGGCTCAGTCCCATTCACAGCAGCCACACTTTTACATCAGCCACACCTTAACAACTATTAGAACCTCCCAGTCCAACCAGTCTACACAACAAAGGCTCATTCCTAACAGCGTGCTTCAGCCGCACCGAACCTCACAATAATAATATTCAGGGCCTACCTTGGCTCCTCCCACCCTCAACCAGTATATATACATGGACTGTTTTCTTGGAATTTCTCTTACTTGATACAGCTATCATGCTGTGACGGTTTCACCTGAAGACGGAGGCCTGCGTTGCCTCCGAAACGTCGTGATTTTTATTTTATTTTTATTTTACTTTTATTAATTTTAATTTTTTACCTACGTGACTTTACCGAAAAAACCTAAGAATATTATGAAGTGTGATTTAATTAGTTTACATTTCATGGCGGGGGAAAAACAAAGAGCGCTTTTTCGTCCGAGGGCTTTGTGCGTTATATCTGTGTACTTTGTTGAAACGTCAACCCGACAGTTTTTCAGTTAAAAGCGTTGCAAGGCGTGTGCACAGACAGACAGACTAAAAATTACGTTTATAGGTAAGATTACATTTTGCGGTTCAAATATATAAAACTACTGTTTCAATGTGCGATGTTTATGTAAACATCGATGTTTATGTTACACTAACGTTTTGACTTACGATGGGGTCGTCGTAACGCATCTCCATCGTAAGTAGAGGACTACCTGGACTATGTTTCACCTGTCTTAAATATATCAGTGAAGGTGATGTCACCACTGTGGGCTTAGCAGGTGCGAAGACCAGAGAGGGGTTAAAGTAGTTACATACGTTACAATAGAGCATGTTAATCAGTTAATTTACTGTACCTATTATTGGTTTGGGTTATTCACAGTTAATCGACATACATAATGTATGTACATTATATTAATCTAATATCATGCCGAGAATATGCAGTACCTATTATCGGCTGCTCAAAGTTCATCAACATACAATAGCGGGTTTAAGGTGACATTTATATTTATGCTTGCGCGCTTACGACTGTGCAAATCTTTCGGTCGTTTTTTAACCCACTTCCCGTGATCCAATCGAGCTGACATTTTCCACACAGACTCGTTGTGCGTGACAATTTATTTTCGTGAAAATTTTTTTCCAAAATGTTACACTTTTTAGGAAAAAATAATGGTATGACTGTGTGTGGGGTGGGGGTCTGTTTGTATGTATGTGCGTGCAAGTCTTCATCCTGGTTCTGGTTGTATGTGCTTGCGTGTGTGAGTGCGTGAGACGAGGTGGCCGAGTGGTTAAGGCGATGGACTGCTAATCCATTGTGCTATGCACGCGTGGGTTCGAATCCCACCTTTGTCGCGATTTTTTTGTATCCTTTATATTAAGTTCACTTGCTTACTTGCGCGCTTACGACCGTGCAAATCTTTCGGTCGTTTTTTTACCCACTTCCCGTGATTCAATCGAGCTGACATTTTGCACACAGACTCGTTGTGCGTGACAATTAATTTTCGTGAAATTTTTTTTCCAAAATGTTACACTTTTTAGGAAACAAAAAATTATATGTAATTACCAATTGCTTAATGGTGGCAGGCAATCATCTGACCCATAGGTGGCAGCCATCTCAAACCAGAGGACGAGAGGACTCTAGCCGCCACGCATATAAAGGATTTATAGTGAAAAACTTTGTTTTTACGGGTTAATTTTTATCTAACGAGTCAAAGGTGAGTGATGGAGAAGATGTGGCGGTAATGGAAGCAGGATTGGTTTTAACACACGACCGAATAAGGGGCCGTCCATAAATGACGTCACGCGAATTTGGACGGTTTTTGACCCCCCCCTCGCCCCATCGTCAGACCCCCCCTTAAAAATGTGACGTCACAAAGCTCTGCCCCCCCTCCCCCCCAAAATAAAACATGCTTCAAATCGCTTTAAACTATTGTCATTGTAGTGCGTATTTAATCTGCCACTGCACTCTGATGTTGTAGGAGAAAAAATTGATTAACACGTCTATTTAATTAGGTAGAACGTGCTGTCTATACAGTATGTATTTAAAGTTGCGCATTTTGATGTGACGTCACATTTCTCAAACCTACCCTTCCCTTCGTCACACATCGTCACAAATGTCTGACCCCACCCCTAGGTGCGTGACGTCATTTATGGACGGCCCCTAACTCTTAGATGCATATCTAAGAGTTATTTTAAGCTACAGGTGACAGGTGGAGATCATATCAAACGAACAATGCCATGGCATTGCAGAATATTGTAGGCTGGAGGAAAATAAGAAACAATTTGGGAGGTTCCATTGTTTGAGAAAGTATAGAAGTGTGTCTCCATGGATGGGGAGGCGACCCCGATGGTGGAACTCGGCTCGCTGGCTGAGCGGCATGGAGCGTTGCTCTTCATCGACGAGTGCCACGTTGATGGTGCATTAGAGTGGGGGAGAAGACTAGTCGAGTGAGGGATTCAACCAGCAGTGGAGAGATTGGGTGGTGGTGCATTATAATGGGGGAGAAGGCTAGTGGAGTGAGGGATTCATCCAGCAGTGGAGAGACCCTGGCTGACGATGCCGATGGTGTCTTAGAGGGGGGAGGTTGGGGGAGTTGAGGAATTCATCCAGCAGTGGATGCCTATACAGAATTAAATTGATAGGTTCTGGAGAGCTGAGGAGTTAAAAGTAAACTCTTACCGCCAATTGGTAAGATAAAAAAAACCGACATCAGAATCCATTCCTCTTCATTCATGTAAAATAAGGGTAATCGATATAAATAAAGATTGGCGGAGAAGATTAGCGAAGTGAGGTATTCATCCAGCAGTGGACGTATAAAAACAAGCTCTAGCGTACTTCCTGACAAGGTAGAAAGCTGAAATTTTGTGCACGGGTAGCTTTTATGACACAAACAACGGGGGAAATCTGAGTTGTGTCATTTCAAGGCATCCAATTCTGGATTTTAAGTGCCCCATGAACATGTTTGTGTGCGTGGTGTCATTCAGAAACCGTTCAAAATATAACATGGCGGATTTTTTTCTTTGACAGATCGTTAAAAAAAGAAATACAATTAAAGCGAGAACCATTGGAGTTCTGTATTTGATTGTTCTTGAGATTTTGAAGATTCAAGCGGGTTTAATGGAAAATTCCGCATTTTATGATGTTCACATCTGAATAATTTTAAAACGGTAGAAGATATGAGAGCTTCTTCTCAGATAATTAAGATCTATACTTTTTTGTTCTTTCTAATACGAAAATAATGGAATATTTATATTGAGCTGTCTCCGATGGGTACGTCTTTTAGTATTAGAAGTTGAATCAACCTGTCAACAATTTATTTAGTGGAAAATACACATTTTTGGAGTAGTTAGTGTCTAATCGTAGATACAAAATAAATCACATTAGGTTAATTATTATATTTATTGAAAACTTTTGCCTTGCAAAGACGGGCTTTATGAACTAGTAAGAATGTAATAAACAAACATCAACAATACCTGATGTTTCGATTTAAAGCTTTCGTAACTGCAGGGATTCATCTTCTTGGTTCTTTCGGTAAAGTCACGTAGAATGTAAATAATAAAATAATAAAAACAAAACTTTATAAAATAATTCTCACGACGTTCTCCACCTGAGGACGGCTGCTTGCGTTGTGGCCGGAACGTCGTGAGAATTATTTTATTATGTATTATTTGTATTATTTTATTATTTACATTCTACGTGACTTTACCGAAAGAACCAAGAAGATGAATACCTGATGTATAGGAATTTTTACGTTAATCGCTATTGTCGATGCATTGCCAATATATCCATGGATTGAGTGATTATGTGACACACTCCCCCTACATTTGATTGGCTAATATCAGCAAGTTCAGTGATTCAGTCGCAGTCTGCTTTTATTGTACCACAGCGCCCCTTAAATAAAATAAAAAGATTTAAGTTAAAATTGCTTTAGTGCATCCATTCTCCAGCTTGGTAAGGCAGTAAAACCACAGCAAAAACAGTCCCAGACCACACCAAGACAACACACATTCGCTCAATTAAATTGTACGCTAAAATTAAACAATTGATACATTTATAAGAATCAAATTTACAAATCGCATTTGCAAACGTGACTGCTGTTTCCAGGGCACTAATCTTCTGCTCCAGAATATTATTTTGAAGGACGAAGTGTGATGCTAATGAACGATAATGAGTCATTCTCCACGTGGGATAAGAGGAAACCGGAGCACCCGGAAAAAACCACCACATCTTACGCGAGGGGGCAACGCTCAACCCCCCCCCCCCCCCCCCCCCCACTGTACAGATGGAACCAGATTACAAGTACTCCACCTGCTGTGCTGCCTTCTGCTAGGACAGCCAGCAGTATAATCACCTCATCGATGCCCACTCACAGGTACAAGGTTAGGGAGTGTGGAACAGATGGAGATTAGTCCACACACATTGCTACATTACTGCCTTCTACTGGCAGAGCCAGGGGGTACGGCTCCTCGACACCCACCCACAGAATCGTAGGGAGTGTGGAACAAATGGAGATTAGTCCACATACTTTGCTGCTGTACTACCTTCTCCCGATAGTGCCAGGGTATAAGCACCTCGTTGACTCCCACGGATGCAACAGAAGTTCAATGTCCAACAAACGACTAAAAGGGATGCCCATTTGTTAGTCGAAACGACAAGAGTCCACAAATCCTCAAGCTGTCACGCAAACTATTGCATCCGTTGCTGACCCTTATTGTCCCCAAATCAAATCTCGTTTCAGTCCCCTCCCCCGCCGGCCCCAACTCGGCCTCAAACATATGAAACGAATCATATTCCAGTCCCTTCGCCCCGATGCCCCACAAGCAGTGTCGAACTTACCGTGCCGAGCGTCAGCATCAGCAGCAGAAGCTGCGATGATCCGGACAGAAGCTGGGACGGCGGGGCCAAGCGGCCCATGTCCACGCTTTCCCGGTGCTGAAAGGGAAGAAGGACCACTGGATAATTGTCTGTGGCACGTTTCTCCTTGGTCTAGGACTTTTATACTACTCAACCTTCTTTTTTTGCCTTCTACTCTCTCATATTTGTTTAAACAAAAACAAACAAAAACGTTCGGCAATGTGGACTCACTCCAGACGCCCAGTTTTTCCTCTGTCAAACATCGGGTATTTTACGTGGAGCCAACACATGGAGTTAAAAGTAATATATTTTTTTAAATGATATACTACAGATAAAGAATTGATGGGTATAAACTTGCCTGTTGCCGTTTTCTCGCCAGCCCGATGTCACCACATATGTCGTGAGACAGCGATTTCGCTCAAAGGTGCGTTTCGTTGGCCAGACGAGGGGTTAAGTGGACAAACTGGAGGCGTACTCTGTAGAGAGTAATGATAATATTGGTCTGGACACAACCCGCAAGTGATGAATGCACCGTCAAGCATCAATGAGCCTTCAGCATCCAAGCGAGCCAACAAGGGCAGCATATTTCCTTGTTGTGTACTTTGCATAGCACGTGATGATGATCTTGCTGTTTTCTCCGATATGTCACCGACAGACAACAGCAAAACGATGGACCGGAATTGGAGAATGTTACACAAGTTGTAGACATCATTATTGTACGAAATGAAATGGTTTGTTTTGGGTTAGATCGCGTAAGTATAAATGTATCGTTAACCCGCGACCAGTGGATGCAGCCAATTAGTAATGGTTTGCAACGTAAACAAAACGTGCAAATTCGTGACTACTTCAGCCCACCGGTGTGTTGGAGAGTAAATCCAAAGCATTTGCAATTGGAGTACTGTGACGTTTCCCTGGAAATTACATACAGCAGTATCATCGGATGATTTTGCCACAATTCTGGCAAACCATACTAATTGGCTGCGTTGGGTGGTGGCGGGTGAACGACACACTTGTACTTACGCGATCTAACCCATAGCAACGTTTATAATGAACTAGCAGTAAATACCTGACGTTGCCCGGACGAAAAAGGCATACACACACATGGACTTACAAACAGACATCGACCCACAAACATAGAAATACATGGACTTACATGCACACACACACATGGACTCACACAGATATCGACTTTAGACACATAGATGTAGTTAAACACACAAATCGACTGACACACACATAGAGTTACACACACATATTGACTCACACATACATACATAGACTGAACAACAACAAGAACCGCCATTCACCACTAAGTGGCGGTGACGTCACCACAACGCTTGTGCCAGGCTATATGCACCCTGAGGTCACGTAAAGTGTCTAACGCCCGCTGGCAGGAGGTCACGGGGCTGACCCAGATGGCACAGGTCGACTGACTGAGACGACTGGCTGATGCACCATCTGTGCCCCCTACTGTGGCAACTTGCTGTGCTTTAGCCACCCGGCGCTCCGCTCATTGTTGTGATCATCGCCCCTCCGCCCTCCATTGTTGTTGGAGGGCGACTGCCTCCAACTGCCCAATAGCGTCATTCAGGAGCCTCCTCCACAGTGGCCGATCTTGACATGGCTGGTACCAGTCATCGTTAAGTCGACTCAGTAGTACTAGGTGTTTACCCTTTTTTCTGGCACCAAAACTGACGCCTTTATACAAGGGATCATGTTAGCAATAACCACAACACTTGCAGTCAAAATGAAAACAAAAAGAAACAACTCTGATAATGACATGCACTTTCCTTGAAATTGATTGGTCCACACCCGAGACAGCTTTTCTTAGAGCCTCGTCTTTTTCTTAGAGCCTAGTCTCACATGGTGTTGGACCAGATGATACCAAAAGATGACGCCAAAAGGCGTCATCTAGTCCAACACCATGTGAGACTAGGCTCTAAGTAAAGCCATCTCGGGTGTGGACCAATCAATTTCAAGGACAGTGCATATCATTATCAGAATTGTCTCTTTTTGTTTGCATTTTAACTGGAAAGTGTTGTGGTTGTTTCAAACATTATCCCTTGCATAAAGGTGTCAGTTTTGGTGCCAGATAAAAGGATAAAAACCTATTACTATATCTTGCTACTGGCAAAGAAGGTCTCATAATATAAAAGTCCAATTAGCTCCACGTCTTCCTGTACCACATCACTCCATCTCTTCTCAAGCCCGTGCCGCGAGTGTTTAGCCCCCTCGATCCGGCCGAACAAAAGCTGTTTAGGCATGCGGTGGCTGGGCATGCGGGCTACGTGACTCAGGCAATGCAGCCTTGCCTGCCGGAGGAGCTCACCGATGGGACTTTGTCCGCATCTTTCAAGGATTTGTGAGCTCCTCACACAATGCAGCCTGGTTAAACTCAGGATGGATCGTAGGCAGGCCACCATAAATGTTTATAACCGGCGAAGATGTTACATTAGGGGGGTCCAAGTTTGGCAAGCGTACAGAAGGGAGGTAATGACCGTGACCGAGAAGACCTGACGCTTCGTGCGGAGTGATAGACCAGGTAGCTTCCACACATCGTTACGCAACCGATGAAAAGATAATGTGGCTCGACTGATTCGGAGTGAGACCTCTGCTGTTAAACCGGAGCTGGTCATTAGCACACTGCCAAGGTATGGGAAACTCTCCACTGTCTCCACAACTGGCCCATCACCAATTGGGAGTTGCAGGGGTGGAGTGTCCGATGGTACAAAATACCCAGGCAGGTGCTTAGTTTTGGTGGGGCTGATGATAAGGCCCCACCTCTTGGTGACAAGCTCCAGGTTCAGCAGCAGCACCTCGAACTCCTCCTCTGAGTTAGCAGCAATTAGCAGATCATTGGCACACAGAAAGTGGTTTAGCAATAGGGAGCCATCCCTTGACCGCACCCGGGCATCGATCAGCCTCCCATTGTGTCTATACCAGATTGTAATTCCTCCGAACTACGTGGTACAAATCTACGTCAAATAATGTGGGAGCCAGACATCCCTGTTGCACGCGAAGGTGTAAAGGGAATGTCTCTTACTGACGGCCATGTAGTTTGAGGCGGGGCCGCTGACCATCATGAAGGTCCTTAAGGATCGTGAGCAAAGGGTGAGGGACTCCGAAAGCATGAAGAACAACCCAGAGGTTAGGCCTACTGATGGTTTCATAGGCCTTGACCAGGTCAATAAAGAACACACATTCACTCACACGCACACATGGACCTACAGACAGGCAAAGAAATGAACTTACACTGACTCACATGGAGCCATGCACACACGCCCATGGACTGACACAGACATAGCGACTCACACACAAACACATGGACTTACGCACATTTGTACTCACACATGCATAGACATCCACTTTAGATGCACACACATGGAGATACACACACATATCGACTAAGACACACACACATGGACTTAAACACACACATACATAGACTGACACATATGTAATGCGAGTGTAAGCGGGGTTCTCTGCTGGCCTCTGGGCCAATCATACGGCCCGGGGTATTGGGGGGTGGAGCAAGTATGGGGGCGTATGTGAAGGTCCACCGCTCACCTTGGGTCCAATCGGAAGCGAGGTGCGTGGGGGCGGAACCTAGGGGCGGAGCCAGCAGGGCGCTATGGGCAGGCCAGATCTGGAAGGTTCGGAAGGGCGTGGTGAGAGGGAGGAGACAGGATCACGTGGTGAAGGGGATATAGGTGGGAGCCTGGAAGGGCTCCGGGTCAGTTGGTAGAGTTAAGAAGCTGGACCACGTTGGGCGGCCGGAGGGAATCCGCGCCATCAGCCACGTGGCTGCAGGAGCTTCAGCACACCGTCGGCCAGCGGTGTGCGGAGCGGGGGAGAGTGAAGGACTGACGAGAGAGCGCGTGCGGGGCGTGCGTGAGGAACAGCTGGTCTGGTGTCGGGACCAGCGGGGTGCGGGTGTTAACCCGAATAAAGAGTGACGGAGACCAAGCAGTGCATGGCGAAATCCTTTATTGCACATACATTGCTGGATTATATCAGTTGCCAAATTCTACGTGTTAAATAATCGTATATATTTCATGCGTAGTAGTAGCAGTCGGCTTTCACGACCAATAACCATAATCGAGCTTTTTTTTAGGTGAGACCAACCAATATAAATGTGTCGATAAACTCGCCACCACCCTACACAGCTAAATAGAAAATGTATTGCCAATTCTGGCAAATCGCCTGATGCAGCTGGTTGTAATCGTCAGCGATACGCCACCAGTACGGTATTCGAATTGTAAATGTTGTTGTGGGAACACTCTCAAACGCACACCCGTTGTGCTAAAGTAGTAAATAACTGACACGTTATGTTTGCGTGACAAACTCCTTACTAATCACCTGCGTCGCATGGTGGTGGGCTTAACAACATATTGGTATTTATGCGATCTAAAGCAAAAAACAACTTTTATTACGAATTATCTTATCTTATAATAATTATTATGACAATACGTTACTCGTTTGTCCAGGAGAGCCACAAAATGAGTCCAGTTATTTACTACTCCAAGGCCTCATTATGTGGCCCAAACGGGGCCTGCAACTGTCACGCAGAGGGAGGTGATTATCTGTAAAATGTTTGTCGCCGAGCAACGACAATGACGACGACGACGATGACCGGTTATCTTTGAATCTGGAGCGACCCGGAGAAAACCCGCGGCCTTGGCGAGGGTCAACACTATATCCCTTCTCCCCGTACATATGGAAAAAGATGGATATTAGTTCACTTTCTGAACTGCATAAGCTGTTCACCAATCCCCGCAGTGGCGAGAAGATGTCATCAAATAATAACATTGTTTAGTTCAGCCTATAGACAGGGTTAGGTCGATGGGCAGTGTTAAGTTAAATCTATGTGTAGTTTTCAGTCTATGGGCAGTGTTAATTCTCGATTTGAAGCTTTCGTGACTGCAAAGATTCATATTCTTAGGTTTTTTCGGTTAAGTCACGTAAGTAAAACATCAAAATAAAAATAAAATAAAAATAAAAAAATAAAAATCACGACGTTTCGGAGGCAACACAAGTCTCCGTCATCAGGTGGGACCGTCACAGCCGAATTAGCTGCATCTTGATGCAGCTAAGAGACTTGTGTTGCCTCCGAAACGTCGTGATTTTTATTTTTATTTTATTTTTATTTTGATGTTTTACTTACGTGACTTAACCGAAAAAACCTAAGAATATGGGCAGTGTTAAGTCGATGGGCAGTGTTAAGTCTATTTGTGGGGCTAAGTCTATGGGCAGTATTAAGTCTATGGGCAGTGTTAAGTCGACGGGTAGTGTTAAGTCTATGAGTAGTGTCAAGTCTATGGGCAGTGTTGAGTCTATATGTAGTCTTAAGTCTATGGTCAATGTGTAGTCTATGGGAAGTGTTAAGTCGACGGGTAGTGTTAAATCTATGGGCAGTATTAAATGTATGGGCAGCGTTAAGTCTATGGGTAACGTTAAGTCCATGGGCAGTGTTAAGTCCACAGGCAGTGTTAAGTCTATGGTTAATGTTAAGCCTATGGACAGTATTAGGTCTGTCCTGATGCACAGCCCTCAGGACAGCCGTGCAGGTGAACTGACGATGCGATCCGTGTTTGTCATACACGCGGGGAGGAGGAAACCCACTCGCTTGCGCGAGTGAGCATCGCTCTATCCCCCCGCCCACCGTACACATTGAAACAGATGGCAATTAAGTCCACTCGCTGTACCTGCCTTCTCCAGGCGTAGCCAGAGGGGTGCGGTATCCTCCTCGTCGACCAGGGAAAGGCAGCTTTGGCAACTTCTGTGTGCGATCCACCAACCCTCGCTGCCGTCTCCAGAGCTGGATCGCAGGCTGCCACGAGCACAGCCACATTAATGTCCACTTATAAGCAGACGGCCAATGTTCATACACCCCAATGTGGTATGCAATATATTTGATTGCTTTTCTGTAACAATCCACGTCGCACCTACTGACCCTAAGATACAGCAGGAATTTGTAAGAGGAGAACATCACACAACCTTGGTAAGAGATAAGATCAGTATTTCTAGTTTGGTACGTAATGTTCGTCTCCGTTGACCCATGGGGGTTATGCTGTGGGACGGAACATGAGTCGGCAGTAAATATTTTAGCTTCACTTTGTGGTCAATCGCCTTCTATAAAACGGAACTTTTTATTGTTACCAGGTAAGGCCCACCACTGAGCTATGTAGCTCTTCTTCAGAAGCGACCTGACTATCACAAATGATAGTTCAATAGGTAGAATACTCTAAAAATGTTTGGTTTTGATTTTAAATATGGAGGGGGGTTGAAACCAGAGGAACCGGAGATAAAAAAACAAGCAACCACCATTGGGGATAGAGAGAGACGCAGACTCCAAATGTGCAGCAGCAGCAGGCGTTGTCAGGGTCGGGATCGAACCCAGGAACCTCCTGCATACCAGGCGAGGTAGTTAACGTCTCCTAGCCACCGTTAGTTATGATTATGAGAGGAAGAGACATGCAAACTCGAAATATACAGCAGACGTCAGGGTCGAACCCACGTCCTTCATAGCAGGTGAGGTAATTAACATCTCCTAGCCACCGTGATGATGCGAGAGAGACACGCAAACTACAAATATACAGGAGGCGTCAGGGTCGGGACTGAAGCCACGACCTGCAAACCAGGCGAAGTGGTTAACATCTCCTAGCCACCGTGATGATGATGAGAGAGAGACACGCATTGTATGCCTTACATGCTTATATAGGCGCCACGGTGACAAGATGTAGGCTCCCTCGCATGGAATGCAGGAAGTTGTGGGTGTAATTCCGACCCTGACACCTGCTGTCTCTTTCAAGTTTGCGTCTCTCTTTCTTTCTCCCCGTGGTGGTCGCGTGGATTTTTATCCGCGTCCTCCTGTTTTTCTCTCCCCATTCAGCGTATTTGGCTGCAAAGAAGTCCACGTGATGATGATAGCAGTCACTTCAATTGTGATAGCCAGGGCGCTTTTGAAAAAAGAGCGACATACCTCACGGGCCCTTACCTAGTAGATTAGCGCACCGTACTACGAATCTGACAGAGACCCAAGTTCAATTCCCACTTATGGCCATCAACATCAGTGACGATTTTCTGAACCGGTCCTGGGCCTCCCCTATGTCGACTCAGCCTCAAATGAGTAGTGGGCCTTAACTGGTAACATAAAAAAATAGTTTGGTTTGTATATGCTCGCCTGTTGTTGCTTGCTCAACTGCCCCATGTCACCACCTATGTTGTGAGACCGCGTTTTGGCTCACTGATATGTTTCGTTGGCCAGACGAGGGGTTAAGTGAGGAAGTGGAGGCGTGCATTGTCCTTGAAAGCATGTTTTACTTTTGGCGAGACACGACCATATTGGAGGTTGTAGCTCTGGTGTAAGCCAATCATTGTCACGGATGAGAAATACATTAATAGTAGTAGTACCAAAACAGTATATGTTAACATGTTTTAACACAAGCATGATCTGTGGGGAATGCAGACTTGAGGGTGACTTGGTGTCTTTTTGGTGTTTGGACGTCTTAACTTCCTGCTTGCATTATTGCTGGAAAGGTTAAAGCCAATGCTATGCTTACAATCATAATCAGTTTGACGTGTAGGCTTTTGTGACCATTATTATTATTATCTTCTTTTACGAGTAAAAGTCTCCGCGCACGCCTGTGGGGGATTTGGCTCTCGAACGGTGGGGTTATAAACAATTGCCGGGTGGCACGCCCCAAGCCCGGCGGTTGGAATAGGTTATTCTGTTTTCCCATCCGTCAACTTTAACTAAATTTAATTAGCGATTAGCAATAATTAGCGATTTAGTGCCATTCTTATTTTAAGTATTTACTTATTGTGCGGGTTTGACCGTACCAACTGACGACAATTGCATGGGGGGGGGGGCGGACCCTGCCAAGTGATGCGCGTTCGGTCGAGTTCACGGGGGACCTTTTATTTTACGCGTTTTACATGGAATAAATATATACATCACGCTGCGGATTTCTCTTCACAGTGTGATGTCCTCTTCCCCCCCCCCACCCCAATGCGTGCAGTTACTGCTATAAAGTCGTTACATATTCATATTATTACAGCGCTTAAATAGTATTCTTGTAGATCAGCCGGTGGAGATGGTGGGGGGTGGGGGCAATGTAGGCGACGCCGCGGGCTCTGCACAGGACTAGGCCTCATCACGCCAATGTATGATTCCAAAGAACACAGTACTATTTCATTGAATCTTTCGCTAACAACTCAGCTGCACTGTCTACTATTACGAAACTAATAAGTTTGCTAATCTTTACATTACAATGTTTGTGTGCAGATAACAACTCAGGTTCATTGTTTACTCTTATGAGACTAATACGTTGCAAAATATTACAATAATAATGTTTGTGTGCTTTCGTGACTGCAGGGATTCATCTTCTTGGTTCTTTCGGTAAAGTCACGTAGAAGGGAAGTAATAAAATAATAAAAATAAAACATAATAAAACAATTCTCACGACGTTTCGGCCACAACGCAAGCAGCCGTCCTCAGGTGAAAACCAGGTCCGTCGAGGCGACAGAGTCTGAATGAAACAGCACACGAGCTTGGAGCATATATATAAGCTGGGCGCATTGACAAAGGAATTTGCATATCAAAAGGAATTTAGCATATTTATGGGAAATGCAGGAATGTGATTAGTACTGCATATGCATGTGCATTATGCAGGATTAACAGCATCAAAGGGAGCTGCAGTTACTGCTGCTGCTGCAGTTTCTGCTGCTGCTGCAGTTGCTGCTGCTGCTGCACTTGCTGCTGCTGCTGCAGTTGCTGCCTTATCCATTTTAATATAACACTATGTATTATTCTACCCACCCTAATGTGTATCACACTGCTATATGTTTACTATACTGTATGGTGTCGTAATTGTATAGTAAACATATAGCAGTGTGATACACATTAGGGTGGGTAGAATAATACATAGTGTTATATTAAAATGGATAAGGCAGCAACTGCAGCAGCAGCAGCAAGTGCAGCAGCAGCAGTAACAGCAGCAGCAGCAACTGCAGCAGCAGCAGCAACTGCAGCAGCAGCAGAAACTGCAGCAGCAGCAGTAACTGCAGCTCCCTTTGATGCTGTTAATCCTGCATAATGCACATGCATATGCAGTACTAATCACATTCCTGCATTTCCCATAAATATGCTAAATTCCTTTTGATATGCAAATTCCTTTGTCAATGCGCCCAGCTTATATATATGCTCCAAGCTCGTGTGCTGTTTCATTCAGACTCTGTCGCCTCGACGGACCTGGTTTTCACCTGAGGACGGCTGCTTGCGTTGTGGCCGAAACGTCGTGAGAATTGTTTTATTATGTTTTATTTTTATTATTTTATTACTTCCCTTCTACGTGACTTTACCGAAAGAACCAAGAAAATGTTTGTGTGCACAAATGTAATATTTCATTATTACGTTGATAAATTTATTTTTAACTGCGTTTTTATTACGCTGCGACAGTGTACTGCCAGTCTGTAATGTGGCCTGCTGATTAATTAACATCAGTGCACTGCCACTCTATTATCTACACTGTTAATTTTACTTTTGCCAATTATTAGTGTATGCTAGTCTAAAATCTGTTGCCTGCTTCTTTACCTCACTCAGTGTACTGCCAGTCTTTCATGTCGACTGTATCCTGCTTTTTCAGCTGCTGCCCGTATTGCAAGCATTTTAGGTCGACTGTAGCTATGCTTATGTCATTTAGTCGGCGAACTGCCAGTCTATAATCTCGACTGTAGCCTGCTTCTCTATTTACCTGTGCGTACTGCTGCTCTTTAATTTACACACATTTCAACATTTCTTCTATGCATTTCTATTGTTTCGATTGCTCACGTCACGCTATTTACTCATACGTTGTTCTGCGATGCTGATAGCTGTGCCATCATCGGGGAGTGCTGTGCACGTCCATGTGTGTGTGTGTGAGTCGATGTGTGCGTGTTTCAGTCGATATGTGTGTGCGTGTAGGTCCATGCGTGTTTTTAAGTCCATGTGTGTGTCTGTCTTTTTCGAACGGACAACGCCCAAGGTATGTGTCTGTACGTCTAAGTGTTTGTGTGTCAATCCAAGTGTGCGTGTCAGTCTATTTGTGTGCGTATCAGTCGCTGTGTGTGTGTTATTCCATATGTGTGTGTTCGTTGACGTGTGTGCATGGCTCCATCTGAGTGTGTAAGTCAATGTGCGTTTGTGTGTCTATGTGTGTCAGTCCATGTGTGTGTGTGCGTCCATGTGTATGTGTGTGTCAGTCCATATATATGTGTTTGTTAGTCCACATGTGTGTGTAAGTCCATACATGTGTGCGTGTCACTCGATGTGTGTGTGTAACTCAATGCCTGTGTGTGAGTCGATATGTGTGTGTTCATCCATGTGTGTGTTTTTAAAGTAGATGTCTGCGTGTGAGAGTCCGTATGTGTGTGTTGGGCAATGTGTGTGTGTCAGTCTATGTATGTGTGTGTGAGTCTATGTGTGTGTGTGTGTAAGTCGAGGTGTGCATGAGTCCATGTGTATGTGTGTGTGTTTTAGTCGATGTGTGTGTGTAAGTACATATGTGTGTTTACGTCAATGTGTGTGAGTCCAGGTATGTCTGTGTATGAGTTGATGTGTGTGTGTGAGTCGCTGTATGTGTGTCTGGCAAAAAACAACCCCGTACCTCCTCGCGGTGCCGGATGGGCAACACTGTCGTGGACAGCGCTGTGGGGGGAGGGCCAATGCCCATTGGCTAAACGGGGGCTCTGGACGGGTGCGAGGGGCTAGTAACCCCTCCACTCTCAATTCGTTATCACTAATCCTCGACTTAAACATAAATATGTAACTAATAAGCTTGTGCCGGAGGC